TTTGTCAAATAAATTAATTATCTTTCAGAGTTTTGTTATCATTTCTCTTCCTGAACTCAGTAATCTTGATTCCCCCACGGAATCTCAGAGAATATAATCATAGCACTTTAAAAATCTTATGTCTATGTGTGTGGTGATGGGTTGTAATTAGTATTTTGGTGGTGAACATGATGTAATCTATGCAGAAATAGAAGTACAATGATGTACACCTGATATTTTTACAATGTTATAAACCAATGTTACTGCAATAAACAAAAAATTAAAAAAAAATAAAGAAATGTATTTTCTTAAATAAATTAAAATAAATAAATAAATAAATAAAAATCTTATGTCTATGGTGAGAAAGGGAGATAAGCTTGAATGTTGCCAGAACAAAAAATGATATGACACCTTAGTTGTTAATCCTTAAGGCTTAAAGATTTGTAATAATTACCACTCATTTTCACAAAGGATTTAGGCATTTAGAGAAACCCCCTTGTCTCCATATGAAGGTCATATGAATGTAAAGACATATCCACGGTCATATATTTATAAAGATAATATCGGCCATTAGGAGGGAAGAGTCTTCAAGGGTTTTTGTTTGTTTCTTCTTGCAATAGAGATAATGCTATAGACAAGACTATCTTTGGAAGTTCTAATATGGCCAACATCATTTTAAAACTATTTGTTGAATACTTACTAGATATACTATTTCACCTTATAAATCCTTCAATCCTAGAGCCAGAAGCAACTTTTGCTGTCATTTTGGCATGCTTCCTAGACACCGTCTGGGAATTTAGTCTACAACATCTCTGACAGTCATTACCTTACTTTGGCTCAAGAACTTTCAGGAATGGGATTCCATTGCTGATGAGGCCACCTGCCCCACTACTAGATGCTCTAGTGCCACAATATTTTTTCTCCCATTTTCTTTTACGTTCTCTAAACTAACATCTCTCTTCCTGTCACTTCTACACGTAGGTCCTCTACATCACCTTAAGTCCTCAACTTAAAAGCCTTTAAATATTGGAAGGGAAGAGGTAGTGCAGGCAAAGGCAACACCTTTCCCAAGCACCCACTGTTTTGCAGGACACATGTGGGTGCATTTTATGTTACCTCACTAACTTCTTAAACAATCTAGTAGAGTAAGCAGCATTAATGGCATTTTACTCAGAGGTAAGTAAAACTTTCCTCATTTGTTTATCTAATGTTGAAATCCAATTTTTAATTACTCTAAAAGTTCTGAGTCAAGAGCCTGGATGCTAATTTATATCTGTTGATGGATAGTTGCATGGAATTGGCTCCTTTTCACTATTTCTAAAATCGGGAGCATAGTCCTTATTGTCCCAGGCAATCTCACAAGGATTTTTTTTTGAAGATAGAGGCTTTGCCAGTCTTGTTAATCAAAGTCTTTTGCTGTATGAACTCATCATGGCTTTTGGAAATCACACTCAACAGAACTCTATTGCCCTTTGGAAGAGAGAACTTTTCTCCTAGAAATAATTCAAGCCCTGGGGAAATTTTGGCTTATTGTGTCCTTTTCAGATTTGTGAGAAATGTTGATGCTGGGGAACAATCATTTTCATTGCAGCCAGAGAGTACCTATCAACACTAAAGCAAGTCCTAAACCATTGGGAGACTAAACAGCCTGGACTAAAATAACATTGACATTCACGTTGAGACACTCAGGAGAGATTTAGATCAGAGTTTGATGATCACCACAACAAACTGTTTTAGAGATTTACTAACATTCCAAAGTCACTGTTTGGAAATTCTTAATGAGTAATCTACTGATATATGTATATTTGGACTAAAATAGTATTTTATACTATGTGTATAAATTTTGGTTTTGCCCCATTTGTAGGTTTTTAATAGGCTGAATTTTTGTTTAGCTACTTGATTTAAAAAATATCATGTCAGCAAAATATTTTGAATATTTTTTGTTTTAATTGACTCTGTGGCTGAAGTTTAGACAAAATCTCAAAAACCACTTATAGTTCAAGGGTTTTGGAAATTCTTTAACATAATGTGAATTCTTTTAGTTTTGTATTATTTAACTCTGTCTGGGGATTTCTTTCTGTTCTTTTATCAGGTTCTCCAAAGTACCTATTATTCAGGCTGGATAAAAACTTCTATAGATTGTGTCCCCAGTGCATTTTCCGATGATGATAAGTGCCCTTAAAATTCTTTCAGACCTGAATATCTATCTGTGTGAAACTGATAGGTAAGTATTTCTTTAAACTATTGTAGATTATATAAGAAACTCACCAAAATAAATGTGCCTAGAAAAATGAAAAGAAACATGCCATGATATTAACAAGTTATCTTTGGATGATGAGATTTCTTTTCCCTTACTATCCTACTTTAAATGATGAATGTATATTGATTTTACAATAAAGAAGGTTTACTTGTGAAAAAGCAGTTATAGACACAATAATATCCACACATATGAAATGAGATCTCAGGTACATGTGTAGGTGACTGAATGCTAAGCAGGGATTCAGACACATCTACTGATTGCAGAAACAGATTGTAACCAGAGAGCTCGGCCCACCTGGCTCTCATGTGCTGGCTCCTTGGCAGATCACAAATATAACTCCAAACAATGGTGACAGGTCTTTGGTAGCAGGTTATTTCTAACCCCTTATAGAAGGTCAAAACCTTCCCCAAACAGATCAGGTGAATAATTTTGGTTTTGACCAGAGAAACTGGTTTAATTAATCTAGGCTGTTTGGTTCTAAGTAATATATTTACTACTCAGTAACAAGAGTTAACAAGATAAAAAATTCTGTATATACTATAAGGTAATCAAACTTGTCAATTGTCCAATGGGATTGGCAGAATTTATATTAGGGAAATCAGAGAAGTGCTGACCCAAAATGTCCTGGAAGAGGTTCTTATTATGAAAATAAGCAGATGCTATTAAGTCTAGAAAGCTGGCAGGAACTTCTGTCCCAGTGATGTTTGCTAAAAGCTGATTTAAATTAGTAAATCACATTTAAAAATACCCTTTTAAAAATTTATAGTACACATTCATACAAATATACACCTATTCAAAGACAAAATTTTGACAATTTTCATTTTATTCATTTATTCATCCATCTGTCCACTCATTCATTAATTTAGCAAATGCTTTTTTGAGTATCTTCTACATCAGAGGCAAAATCTTGGGAGTTGGGGAGTAAACCAGAGAACAAACACAAAAATCCCTACGTTCATGTTTATGTTTATGTTTATAGTACTAGAGAGATTAAAAAACAAATAAAGTAAAATATATAGTATGTGAGATGGGGATACGTATTATGAAGAAAAATAAATCCAGGAAGCGAGGTAGGGCATGCCAAGTGGGAGGTGGGCACAGAGAAAGAAGTGGTGTTGTTTTAAATAGGATGGTTAGGAAAGGCCTTACCAATAAGGTAACTTGGTAGAAGAGATGGTTCCAGACAACTTTAATATCCCCCTTTCACAAATCATTTGAGCAGCAGAAGTGGGAGAGCATTGATCCAAGGTTCCTGTTATTTTTATTGCACATGTGAGATAACCCTTCTTTTTATGCTCTACGAGTAGTAGCTTCAGCACAAGAATATGACTCTTACACAGAAATAATACACAGTAAACATTTTTCCTCCATAGTGATATGCCTGGTGAATAGATTCACTGAAATGCCACTCTTCAGTGGTCCTATTGAACTAATACAACCATATATATGGAAATTAGCTTTTTTCCCTGTTCCTTCATGTGTTTGCTTTCTGAAGTTGACTATGAGCCCATTGAAGACAGGGATGGGACAATGATTTGTTCATCTTGCCAGCCTCAATGCCTAGCCCAGTGCCTAGCATTTGTCAAGTGCTCAACGATTACCAGCTGAATAAATAAATTTTGAAAGTAAAAGAGACATTGACTTCAAACAGTTCATGAGATGAATTCCCAATGGCCACATTTACCTACTAAACTGTCCAAAGGGGATAACCGTCTTACATCCTGGTGACCTCTGGACCTCAAACCCTATAGGTACCTGGCATCAAGGACTTGCTCTGTAAAATAAGATGTTTGTGTGTCCCCAACAGGGATACTTTCTGTATAAGCAGCTCTAAGAGCTTGTTTCAAATCACTTTTTCCCCACAACAGTGCTATAAAATGGGACTGCTGTCATCCCCACATTTTTCTTCTACCTCTGTGACAGATAATCTGGCTTATATCCTTTCTCTGAGACGATGTGGAGGAATGATATTCATCACACTAGATTAAGGGGACAAAATTATGACAGCGTGTGATATCCACACTTCGGGGAATAGTAAAAGGGAAAAGGGAACCCCAAAGCTGTATTTTATAATAGAGTCCTGATTCTAGACCTTAATAATTGTGTGAGTTTTTTGGACAAGTTACTCAATCTCTGTGAATCCCATGATCTCATCTGTAAACTAGGAATAATAATTACTACCTCACAGTATTGTTCTGAAGGTCAAGTTGGATAATATATGTAAAGCATTTGGTATGGTGCCTGGTACATAATCTGGGTGTTCAACAGATTGTTGTTAATATTTTTACTACTACTACTAATACTGTTACTATTGGAAAACTTAGACAAAAAAGATTTTTTTTAACCAGTTGTTGAACATTTATATGATCACTGAGGATAATGCTCATAAATATATTTGCACTTTAAAATTTATCTCCCTCTATATATTTGTAATAACATTAAACCATGTTTATAATATTCTTGAAAGTCTTACCACTTAAGAATATGAAGAAAGTATAAAATATGTATCAAAAAAATATCAGCTGCAAAATGGGATGATGCTTAATAGGGAACATCTCCATGTTCTCAGAGCACCATACATGCTAAAGGACAACTTAGCAGGCATTTTGCCATCATGGTGGTTGATGCAATCTCTGTTGCTTTGATACTTTTCTTTTAAAGATACAGTCAATGAAAGTCATTATCTTTTCAGGTAGGAAAGTGACGCTTTAATGGGGTCTGAACTCTAGTCTGATAACTTTCTTTTCTTGTTTCTTTAGCATCTTGAAGTATAATTAGGCACCACTAGGCACAAACATCACCAACTTGAATGATTATGGAGGTGGTCTGTCTGATGCTGAAAATGTCTCTAGTTTTTTGACAACGGCTGCATAACCATGGGGTCAAGTGGACTTGGGAAATCAGCAACATTAGATGAATTGCTGAGTACTTGCATTGAGATGTTTGGTACGAGCCTTTTCTCTCTTTGTATATCTTGATACCATCACTTCCTCCTATTCAGATGCAAATGTTTCTGTGGAATGGATTTCAATTTCCATACCTTGGTATTTAAGGTCTTTTTGATTGACCCTAATCCGTTTCCCCAGTATCGCTGATCTCTGCATTTCCTTCCTTTTACTGCCCACAGTTCATACTCCAGCCACACTGTCCACTTAATGTTTCTGGAACATTCTCTGCATCTTTCTACCTCCATGCCTTTCATTGAAAATCTGCTTCAGGGCTCATCTCAGATGTCATCTCCGATGTTCATAATACCATTCCTAACCTCCCCGTCAGGAATGCTGATTGCTTCCTCTGCCCTCCCACAGCCCCTTGTAACTTTCTGATAGCACATGGTATATGCTGCTGTGATCATTTCTTGGTCTTTTGCCTTAGACAAGTGTGGGTAGAACAATCTGCTGCATTCTATATTTGCATATATATCTTATATCTCCTACTAGATTATAGACTTTACAGCTATATGCTTTTTATGTTGTTTATGTGTTTTGGATTATTCCTTGCACAAATAGGGTCACAAAGGAGTTATTTGCTGAATTAATTGTTATAGGAAGAGTTAAACCAGAGTGGGGTTGCCAGATAAAAAATACAGGATGATCAGTTAAATCTGAATTTCAGGTAAACCATATTTTTACTATAAGTATGTCCTAAATAATACACGGGACATACTTATACTAAAAAGTTATACGTGGTTTATGTTAATTCAAATTTAACTAAGTGTCCTGTACTTTTATTTGCTAAATCTGGCAACCCTAAACCAGAACGGTGAGACCGACCCACTTAACTTGCAAGGAAATGCCAGCAGAAGTAGGAGGAAAACAGTAATTGGGTCTATGAGAAATTTTTGACACTAATGTTTCTCTACTGATATTAGAAAAAGAGAAGAGTAGTACTGTTGTCTCCTCACCACTCATTTTATTTTATTTTTTGACAGATGACAATGGAGAGCTGAATAATAGTTATTTGCCAAGAATAGTTCTACTGATGCACCGATGGTATTTATCTTCCACTGAATTGGCAGAAAAACTTCTCTGCATATATCTTTTCAACTACTGTGTAATGTTTACAATCATATATCAAGTTCTGTATTTAGATAGAGTGTGTAACCAAAGCCAGTAAATTAAGATGAATAAACAGTCTTCAGTCAGTTATCCAGCTGTTTTGAGAATATATATAGATGGCTAGACAAAACATCTGGATGATGGACCAAATAGTTGACTATCCTTCTGGATGTTTTGGCTCCACTTGAAAATAATCAGTAGATATAAAATGAAACAGGAGCTGTAGGCTGAATATTTCTAACTTGTCTTAAACACTTCTGCTGTTAGTACAATGCGAGAATATTTAACACTGATTCACGATCTAATTTATTTCTTTTAGGATGGCAAAATGGTGGACCTAGAGGATACAGCTTAGGCATACGGAAATGCCAGCCAAAATAATATGATCTAGCTCAGGCATAAACACCACCTAAGTTTCCACATCTTCCCTTCCTGGCAAGACACAAAGAACATTCTAGCAGGTTTATTGTAATTTGTTGATTGATATTAATTTTAGATTTCCTTCTGCCATAAAAGCAAAAAAATAGTTAGAAACTCCTTCTATAATAAGGGCTTTTATCAGTCCGCCACTTTTGTACATAATGCAGTCCTGAAAGGTAGTTGAAAGCCAAATGACTGAAAATGGCAAAATAGTCTCACATTTATAAGGAGCTTTTATTCCGTGAGGTCTAAGGTATATTACGTAATCACTAATGTTGGTTCCTGCAGTCTCTACCTACTTCAAGCCCAGGAGGCCCTGCAAATGGGTAAGAAACCTTACAGGGCAGGGGATATCTGAGAGGGACAGGGTCCGTTAAGTGTTATTAGGGCCAAGTGGGGCTTCCACCTGCTCACTTCAAGCTTCCTCCACTTTCAACTTCTTCCCTTTATCCTCCCCACAACTCAGGGCAGAAGGGAATGTTACAGAGGATAATGGTACATTCACCCTAAACAGAGGTCCCCGGAAGTGGACAAGATCCTAGTCCCCAGTGGTCCAACAGTTCCCGGGTCCTGCTATTGAGGGTAGCGCATAGGGAAGGATGGAGATGATTGACTCAATCTGGCCCTATCCCTCCTCAGGATCCAAACATTGTCTAAGCAATGTACCCACAAACAGCATTTTCATTAGTATGTCCACTGATGTATGAAACACAAATAAAAAAGGATATTTAGGCATAGTCAAGTCTACTATCTGTAAGTACAGATTGTATAAAAGTTGAAACTGCCTGTGAATCAACATTTCTTTAGATTTTCCTCCCTTTGGATTTCTTGCTCACCACATATCCACAGCGCCTGGTAAATAGCAGGAGTTCAATAAAATTTTCTTAAAAAGAGTATGAATAAACAAACTTAAGAAGAAATTACAACACAACCCATGTATTAATATACCTAAAAATGACATTTTCAAATACCAAAGAAATTAGAATACTTATATAAGGCATTAATCCTAAATACAAAATCATTTTGGCTAACATGACTATCAATTTTAAATTATCTATAATTGGCAGTATATTTGTAATTACAGTTGACAGTCATCACTTGGTACATGCTCAGAAAGGTAAAACTAATTTTATGTGCGTTCCCTTCCAGACCAAAAAATACATCACAGAGTAATAACACATCAAGTTTAAGTTATTCAGTGTTGATGTCATCAGAACCCACTTCTCTCCCCATTTGAACGTCCACATAACCCAAATGTCCCCAGTATGGTCCTCTTATTAGGAATTCATCTAAACTGATCAAACAGCTGAAGGTGTGTGTAAAGGAAACAAGGTGCAAGGACTTTTTCTTTAACTAGTGTACGTATCGAAATGCCAGTGGAGAAAGTTGCAACGAATTTCGATTAAAGATCTGCTACTTCATAAGGTAAATATACTTACAAATTTAATTGTACTGTAGTTTCTGGTTCTGGAATTGTTGACAATTTCCTTTTCCCCAAGCAGCATACCTAGTTTGACAACAGAATCAACTCAGATTCTCCTTTTATTGACTTTGTTAAAATTGGCCCTCTTCTGTTCCTAGGAGTAAAATTTATCTTTCTTTTGGACTAGAGATCAAGCAGTGGTAAATTGCGAGTAGGGAATGAAGCCAGCACATTTTTTCCCTATTCCTTCACTGTACACATTCCCACCTACTTCCCATGAGTTGAGAGAAGAGTTTCCTCTCAGCTATGGTTCTAGAGCGAGTCAGAGAGGCTCAGGGTGAGATTGGTGGACTTGGGTCCTTGGTTGAAGGAAGGAAGAGTGAGACTCAGTGTGATGGATGGGACACGGGAGATGGCTAATTTGGGGTATGGTCCTGGATTCATTGTTGAATGTAATCTGTAAAATGATACAATGGTTTCCATAGACGTCTGACTTAAAATCTTCCAATTGTCAAAAATATTTGTTGCCTTTCAGGTACTGGATTCTGAAGTTTCCTGCAGAGTTTAATTTGGACCTTGGTTTGATCCGTATGACTGAGGAATTCCGGGAAGTAGCTAGTCAACTAGGATATGAAAAACACATCAGCCTTATCGACATATCCAGCATGTAAGTGTGGCACAAGCCTCTTTAAAACACGATGAGTCCACTGTTTGGGGAGGGAGTAGTGATGACTCGACTTGACCTGAACCCATACCACTTTAGAATCAGGGTGTACTTCTTTGAGGAAAGCCTTGCTGCAGTGAGCACAGCCCCGTTGGACATAGTTCATCTCTCCAAGCTTCAGTTTCTTTATTTGTAAAATGGGGACAGTACCTTTCCCGTGGGGTTATTATAAGCATCCCATAAGTATGTAAGATAGCATGTGAAAGCATTTGGCACATAAATGATATTCAGTATTAAATTGCTGAATCTAGTTAATGGCTCCTATGCCTTTGCCACTCATGGTGTGGTCCATGGACCAGCAGTATTGGCATCACCTGGGAGCTCAATAGAAATGCAGAATCTCAGGGCCCACCCTAAACCTGCTGAATTGGAAACTGCATTTTAATAAAATCCCCAGGGGACTCATGTGCTCATTCGAGTTTGAGAAGTCCTGTACCATGGTACTTCTGAGGTCAGCCTGAGGCTGTGCAAATGTTGACCATAGTTGTGCCATGGACCGGTTAGCTCAGTTATTAGGAAATTGGTGCTAATTAGGCTAGGATTTTATATCAACTAGTTGACTTTGCACAGAGAAAACTATTTTATGACCCTAAGTATGGTTATCCATCATTCAAATATATGCTCTTATGTCCTAGACATTCATACTCTTGTCTATTTTCCTAGAACACTTCTTTAAGAGTGATCAACAGTGAGTGATCTAGGAATCATTAGGGATGTTGTTAAAAATACAGATTATTCAGGTTCATTCCTAGTAAATCAGAATCTCTGGCAGCTAGGTCCAGGCTTCTGTCTTTATAATCAGCTTTTTAGATAATCCATATGTTGCCAAAATGTGAGAATCAGCTTCTGGTGGTTTCCATGTGCCTTAAATCACCATCTATATATCCATAAACTCTCAAATTTACATACCTAGCCCTGATCTCTCCCTTGTGATTCAAATCTTCCTGGTCACAAGACCAAGTAAGGGATTCTGGATGGATCAGTGCAAACCCACCCTGTCTGGAAAAATAACTGGAAGTTTATGTTCTATTGGCAATGGGTCAGTGGTTTTCTTTTCAAATATGAAGGACAGGGTGTGTATTTTGCACAAGCCCCTGGAAGCAGGCCAAGAGTGACAGTCAGTAGGTTAATAACTTCCATTGAGTGAAATGGGCTTTCAGCACATTGACCAGACTCACTTTTCTTTTATAGTCCTTCCTATGACTGGATGAGAAGAGTCACACAGAGGAAAAAAATATCCAAGAAGGGAAAAGCCTGTCTGCTGTTTGACCATCTGGAGCCCATTGAATTGGCTGAGCACCTCACTTTTCTGGAGCATAAATCTTTTAGAAGGATCTCAGTAAGAAACTTGACATTTATTCTTCCAAGGATAACAACCACCATGCCAACTTTCCCAAGAGCTGCGTTTTCATACTCTGAAGTGTTGGCAGCCTCTGTCACTGTGCTCCATTGGAAAAGTGCCCTTAATTCACAGGAACAATCCCTTTTAACCGAAGATAAATATTATCCTGTCTTTATTTTATGGCTCAGGAGCTATATTTCTGTCGCTATTTTCAATGTCTCCTTTCATAGGATTAAAGCATGATTTTCTAAATACTCAGCAGAGATTTAACCATTCAAGGTTTATTTCATTCCATTGACTTCTCCCAAGTGAACATGCTTTGTTAGGCCCTTCATTTGGGGGAAGAAATATTTATTTAGGTCAGGATTTGTGTAAATGCCTAATTATGGGTGTAGGTTGAAAATAGGAATTGTAGGCTTTGAGGAGAATCTCAACTTCAGGTTGTTTCTTTCCCAGGGATGGAGATCCTGAATTAAACTTTTCTTTCCTACTCTGTCTTGATAGCATTCCTTCTCTACATCCCTTTTCTTCCTCCTGTCTGTGGTCTCTTCCTTACCACCTATGCACTCTCCACTAGTTAACGACAATATTTCCACAATGGTTCACAATCAGCCTTTGTCTTTGTCTCACCAAGCTCTGGGGTAGTCACTCCTCCTTCTTTTCCAAGATCCCAGGGAATGAATTACGTTATTGCTTGCAAAAAAGAACATGAAGTTAGAAGTATGGATTTCTGAAAGACTGATTCTTTTCACCAAGTAATCCTGCTTGCAGAGGACCTCAACGATTCCCCGCAGGCAGGCCATGACAGGGAACCCCTGTACTGTTTATATGATAGAAGACTCATATGTATTTGATGACATCCATGCTGACTTCCTGAAATGTGTCTGTTTCTCTAATGAGCTGCCTTACTTAATTACTATTTTTTCTTGAAAAAACTTAACAAAATTATTCTGACTTGAAATCATTATATTTATATTCATTTCCTCTTCTGTAATGTATGCCATTGTATCTCTGACTTGCCTGACCACTGGATCATCAGTAGTGGGTGCAAAATGGAGATTCTTAGGTTTTTCCTCTGGAGATACAGATCCTTTAGGTCTGTGGTGTTCCCAGAAACCCTTATTTTAGCAAATGCTGTGGGTGGGTCTTATGATCCAGCAAATTTGGGACTCACTGGAATGTGACTTGGAGTCTTGTCCTTTCCTCTCCCCACCAACACTGTGATGTGTGTTAAGTGTGTGTCTGGGTATGGGGGAGTGAAATGCAACAAAATAACATGTTAAATGTACATGTATATCCAACTTGTAAGACGCCATTATAAATGTGAAGTGAAAGAAATCATTACGCCGTATGAAACGATATCTCACCTCTTCTATGCAACATTCCAATTTCTGATTTTGCGAAGACTCCGTATAATTCAGAGTCTCTGAATCTTCCTTTACTAGTTCACCGATTACCAAAGCTATGTCATCCATGGCTGCCTGGAGAATAACCCAACCTTGGAGAGATCTATTGCTTTATTTAATGGAATCTCTAAGTGGGTCCAGTTGATGGTGCTTAGCAAACCAAGCCCCCAGCAAAGAGCAGATGTCATCACAAAGTTTATCAATATTGCCAAGGTATGTATGTCTGATAATTAAACTGGGGTTCTTAAAGGATTCTAGATGTTCTTTATTGAGAAAAGTTGTTGAGGAAATTTGGGGTTCACAATATAAAGGACAATTAAACTACTCATAAATGTCTAATGAACAAACCATACTTTTCTCATGCAAGAAGATTGCTTTTAATTGGCAATACTTAGCGCATTTAATGTAGCTATTTTTCTCTGAAATGATTGATATATTTTTCTAGCGGAATTCACTTGTACTTAACTTTAAATTGATATTATTTTTCCTAGATCCTTGTTATTAAAATTTTGTACGCAGTCACCTGTAATTCAGAAAGGTCAGAATAATTCAAAAATTGCTACACAGTATTGATGTTAACATTTTTTATTGCAGAAGCTCCTTCAGCTCAAAAATTTTAACACCCTGATGGCTGTGGTGGGAGGCCTTAGTCATAGTTCCATTTCACGCCTCAAAGAGACCCATTCTCATCTTTCTTCAGAAGTTACAAAGGTAAACAATGGATTGGAGTAAAAAATTCATTTGTAAATTGTTTAGGGGAAGGATACTCCTAACAGATGTCACTCAGAGGGGGGAATTTTTCTTCTTAGACAATGGTAAGTTACACATGGGGGATAAAATAGGAAGGGAATGGCCACACCACCTGGAAAAACAAGTTGAAAGTGGTGACAACTGTCCCAATATGAATGCCTCGAATACCATTAACATATTGCAGTTGTAAATATTCAACAAATATGTATTTGATGCTTACTATGTGATAGGCACTGTGATAACACTGGGGGGTACAAGGGAATAAGACATAAATCATTCCTACCCTCCCCTCCTCAAATGAAGACATTGAAGGCTTGCTCTATTCATAGCACTATGTTCAACACAGTGGAAGATACAAAAGAAGGGGGAGATGTAGGCCTTGTATAGAATTCCCTCAGATTTATAGCTGAGCTGTCAGGAACAAAAATATATTTTTTAAAAAACAATGATCATTTCTCAAACCGAGCTTTTCTGCTATATTTATTTCCAGACCACCATAATATTTTTTTCTTATTGAACATAAAAGAACATTTCATCCTTATGAAACGATTTCCTTGTAAGAGTGTACTTTGCCGTATCAGTGAGGACACTCAGCTGTGAGTTAAAAAAAAAATCTTGAGATTGCTTAAACAGTAAGGAAATGGATCGTTTCACATACCTAGAAGTCCAGAGGCAGGGCTGACTCCAGGCACGGTCTGATTAGAGCTCTGGCTCAGTTGCTCTGCCTTCCTCTGAGTATCAGTTTTTGTTTGTTGTTTGTTTTTTTCATCAGACTGGCTTCCCTCCTGATTGGGCTGTCTGCAGCAACAGGAAACTTATTTTCTCTTGTTCATGAAAGTTGAAGATAGGGAAAACTTCTCTCTTCAGCCCTGCCCTCATGGAATTAAAGCCCCTTTTAGACAGATTGGACCATCTCAAGTCACATGTCCACCCCTGGACCCATAACAGTTGTCAGAGGAATACTACGTACTGATTGGCTTAATTCTATGTTCCTGAACCAATCACAAACCAGAGGGGTGGAATTATGATGATGGTAAATCAGAACCCATCCTTGGACCAGGGAAAGGAAACAGCTCTATCTGAGTCACATGAGCTGCTTTGGGAAAGAGTAGACTGATCAAAACTGGGGTCTATTAGGAAGGTCTGGTTGCTGTTAGGCAACCAACAATAACTTGTCCATATAAACAGGAGGATGTAAGCCACAGAAGCACTGCTGTCTGACCTCAAACGCTGCACTCATTCCAAGTGTAATGGGGCTCATTATGTAAGTGTTTCATTTTCCTTTAGCTTTGTACTGAATTTCAAGTAAGGAGTAAAACACATTTTAAATATTGTAAAGAATAAGAATTCAATGGAGGATCATAGGGGCTTAGAACCACCAGTATGTCTTCAAAAATTATTTATTTGAACTCCACTTTTCTTACAGAAAAGTGAAGTGACTTGCTCAAGGTCACCCCTCTAGTCAGCGGCAAAGTCCAAAACCACAGCTATCTCACACCTCAGTGTGACTTTTCCTGCCCCATACAAGTGATATCTCAAATGCAACTTTCTTGGCACAACTAGGAAACTTTAATATACTACATACTTTAAATAATACAATACATGCTTGTATTTGTGGACTATAATATTTCCATGAATTGCAAAATACTTATATAGATATGATGTTATTTAACATCCCAACATCCCTAGTAGATAGGCAGAGGTGCAGGCTATTTCTGTTTTGCAGCAGAATGGAACAAGCTGTCCAACTCATAGCCAGGCCTAGTACATTTTTCTAATTTTCTTTTTCCTGGTTAATATTTCCCTGCATCAACATTGGTGCAATTGATACTTCTCTCAGTAGCCGAGGAATTTCCTAGCCACACACTGCAGGGCCTGGGGGTGGGCAGAAGGGCAGGCTGTTTGAAACGTCTACTTTTCCATCTGTTCCCAGAACTGGAATGAAATGACAGAGCTGGTCTCCTCCAATGGCAATTACTGCAATTACCGCAAAGCCTTTGCCGACTGCGACGGCTTCAAAATCCCCATCCTTGGCGTACACTTGAAAGACTTGATAGCAGTCCATGTCATTTTCCCAGACTGGACAGAGGAGAACAAAGTGAACATTGTGAAAATGCACCAGCTCTCCGTTACCCTGAGTGAACTGGTCTCCCTGCAGAATGCCTCTCACCACTTAGAACCCAACATGGATTTGATCAACCTGCTCACTGTGAGTCCAAGGAACTGGAGTTTGTGCTAATACCTCTTCTGCACCTCACTTCCCAGGGGATGCAGGAAGATCTGTGCCAGCAGTTCACTGGGTGGGGGGACAGGGATTGAGTTCAGGGTCAGTAGATAGGGAGAAATCTCAAAGGATGAGGGGAGGGGAACCCCACACCTATAGGCAGCATGACTTGAGACCAAAATCGCCAGGCAAAAAAATATTCCCCTTGCTTTAGGGGGCCCAACCTCTGCCCCTACGACTCCAGCTTCTGGAGTTCTTAGAGACGCCCTCTAGATCTGTGCTCAGCCCCTCACTCTCCGTCATCACACTTGTCTAATTAATCGCCTCCTTCTGCATGTCCTCAATTCATCTGCTTCTCTTTACCCTTGCTGTACTGCTGTAGTTGAAGCCTGGAGTAATGCGAGGACCTCCTCCGTGATCTCCCTGCCCCTTCCACCAGCCTCCCCAAACCACCAGGATGCAGTTCCCAGCCTGGCATCTGAGGCCCTTCAGGACTCCTTTTCTGACTATCAGTCTAGACTTGTTTGTCATTACTTGATCCTGTATCACACCTGCCTTTGAAGAATATTAGACTTATACTTTCCACCACGAACTGCTGCCTTCTGCTTCCTGGCCTTTGCACTTTCTTGCAAAACCCCTTCCCTACCCACCCCTGTGACTAGCTCAAATTCAAAAGTCTCTGTCTTTCTGGAGCCTTCTCTGTTCCCCTCCAAAGCAGTAATGCATCTGTCAGATGTGTTGCCCTTGCACTTGACAATTTATTAACTACATGAAGTATCGCTTTGCATTAGATTTTATTTTCTGTTTATCTGCCTTATACATCACATCTTTCCAGCACCTCTCATGGTACCTGGCATATTTAGGAGCTCAACAGATGAACTGAATGCTGTATTTACGAATGATGTGGTTCAGACAGAAGACGTTCACCTACCATTCATATTTTTGGGATTTGTGGCACACACCTTTAGCTGGTCTCCAGGTCCTAGCACTTTTAGACACAACAGGAGCGTAGAAGAGAACATTTCCCATTGGCTGCTTCTGTGTCAGGGGAAGAGGCGTAACCAAATTCTCTCACCCTTGCTTAGACAAGTGGAGGGGCAACTTCCCTGTTTGAGTTTATGACACGGTAGCATGTGAAACTTGGCTCCAATACTGAATTGACTATTTTCCTTTAATGGCCATGGAGAATGAAAACAATAATCCCTCTGAAGCTCTGAGAGCCTAAATTTCCTAGAACTGCTGCATTGGAATAAGGGTGTGGTTCCTAGACCTTCTCACAAGCTGTTCCTAAAGCAGGTAATTGTTTACCAAAGAACAGAACCCCCAAGTGTATCCAGTAATGCTAGCTGCACGCTTAGTATAAAGCAGAAGTGCCCAACACACAGAAATACCAATCCCTGGGGTTTGAGTTTGTGTGACAAGTAGTAATCACACATTCTCTACTGGGGAAAAAAAACTCATAATAATCTAGGCACCTGCATTTATTAATCATTTGCCATGTAAATCTGTTGCCACAAATAAGTGACCAGCGTTGCAACCCCAATCAGACTGCAAACCCACAGACACAGGTGATAATTGCAGACTAATCTCAAGGTGCAGCCTGGGTTTCAACTGTCTGTGTCGGGGCTGTCTCCATGATGTGGAGGATAACTTCACAAAGCAGGTGCCTACACTTGGGCAATTTCTAATCCAGATAAAAGATAATGATGGAGTAGGGAAATTAAATTTGAGTTGTAAATGCAGCAAGCAACATCATGAAAGATATTTAGAGCAATATTGAAAGATGTTGAATGAAATTTTGGGGGTGCAAATGAAAAATCTCAACTCTAGAAATAAAAGCTAAGACATTATTCCTTTTTGCTGGGAAGGAAAGAGGAAAAAAGGATGCCAGCTTAATCACTCTCTCGCTCTCTCTCTCACTCTCACTCTCAGAGGTGTTGAAGGAAAATTTAGCAACCACCAAGCACCATACTTAGTTCTGGCAGTGTTATATAGTATAGAGTGGTGGCAAGAACCCTAGACAGGAGAATCCTAGACAGGAGATCCAGCTTTTAGCCCTGCCTCTGCAGTTACCTAGCTTTGTCTCCCTGCTAACTAGCCTTGATTCTGGATTTTTTGTAAAGGGTTTTGTGCTCATTTGTGAGGTCTCTTTCAGCTCTAAACTTCTGTGATTCTAGACTTAAGGAATGGTGGAGCCTTGAGAATAAAGAACCAAGTGTCAACCAGATTCTGTAGTTCCAGCCCATCGGCTCATCAGGACAGCACAGTCCTGCATATGAGTCACTGATCATCAAGCCAATTTCTATTTAAAGCCAAGATCCTTCCTCTCTCCCCACAAGTGAAGAGAAAGTTCAATGCGCAGGACTATACATTCATTCTTTCTGGCCCCTGGGGGATTAATCTCCTGGAGTGAGGACTAGAGGGGATTCCCACGAGGTATTCACTGGAGGCCAGTGAGCATTTCATGAAGCGCACACGTGTAGGGATTAGGACCACAAGATTGACTGCAGCTGCCCAAATGCATTTGAAGGGGCGATTCTTTTTGCCCTGAGACTCTAGGTCAGTTTTCTGCCATTCTAAACATGGTCCCGGTGAGATAGCTGATATATGATTAAGAGCCCTGGAAGATAGAAAATGAGAGCTCTTAAGTTAATCAACAATTACTAAATGCCTACCCGGTGCAAGAGGCTGCCCAGCCATGCTTGAGCTTCTGTAACAACTGAAGCCAGTGTTCACCCACGTTTCTCTGGTAGATTCTCACAAACACCCTGTGACGTAACTGGGACAGAGCAGCGAGTATAACATCACCCCGTCCTCTTCCCATTTTACAAGTGAGGAAGCTGAGATCCATAAAGGACAAAAAGCTTGCAGATGGCAAACTTCTGAATCTCAGCCTGGGGCTTTTTCTCTCTTGGAAAGTTTGCCTTGGATGGACGTTTACTCTGTCTTGTGGGCATATTGGTGACATTTATTTTATTTTGCGTCTGTAAAAATTAAATTATATGTCTCTCTCCCTCTTCATGGATGTGGAGAGACGGAATTAATTACAGGACAAAATCTCTGAGGGCAGGGACTGTGTATACCATTTTTATCATTGTAACCTTAGCTCCCTGAACAGCACTGGGCATGTGAAGGAAGGAGGGGCACACCACCAAACTGTTGGGATTTGGGTTGTTCCCCTTTTCAGGGAAGATCTGGAGAAGACATTTTCCACTCTGATCCCAATTCACATAACCGGGAGCTTTAAAAGCTGATGCTTCTTATTTTGCGGTATATGAAATAGTCTGATTCTTTTCATAGTATTTTTAGATCTATCAGTTACGTTTACCATTCTGAGTATATGCAAATGACTGGAAAGCCCCTGTATTTTTACAGTCTCAAAAAAAAAAGAAGAAGAACAATTGCAAAAATGGTAAATGGAGATAATTTGATAACCAAGTGTATTTTATTTCACAATTCTCCAATCAAGGCGATGCAGGTTCTAATGTGCAGCTAAATCCACAACTATCTTTGCTGATAGGCTCGGGTGTAAATGCAACAACCTGAAATAGTGACTCAGAACATTTTTCAGAAACAATCAAACTCAAATATGTTTAGACACAAGCAAACATTCTCGAAATCCCATTGACAAGCTGCCTATGTTATAAAAAAGGTGTGTAGGAAATAGAACAGGTCACTCTGTGCAGGACTATAAAGCCCAGGGGAGATCTGGGAAAGCAAGTAGGATCATGGCTTGGAAAGCAGAGAGACGGCAAGCGTGACTCAGAGGCTGGCTTTACATTCAAGGATGAGCATAGTGGCGTTTGGCTGCTGCATTGACTGGAAGCCAAACCCTGCAGTTCCCATCCTTGTGGCCCTCTGAACAAACCCCATCGGACACACACGAGCTCATTTAATCTTCGCAACAGTCCTGGGAGGGAGCTATTATTTATGATTCCCATTTTACAGATCAGAAGACTGAGACTGAAGAAGATTAATGACTTGCCCATGTTCTCACCACCACTAATCAATGGAGAGCAAACATTTGGAAAAGACTAAAATATTTCCATCATAGGGTCAGGTGTCTGTCCGTTTGACATATGAAAATACCTAAGGATGTTCTGTTTCTTCTGAAAGAGCATCCTCCCTACTTCGTGTGTGGCTTGTTTGGGTTTCTGATCGGAGGTTCCAGCAGTGCTGTCATCCCATCTCCAGCAGATGCGAGCATCATCATCAGTGTGCTCTCAGGCCTGGGAGGCCGAGTTAGGAGGAAAGGAACATGCTCATCAAATCCAGATTAGCTCCTGATAACAAGGAGTTCAGAGGGAAGAAGTCACTTGGTTTTCTATTTGTGTAGCACTCACAATGCGAGGTGGCAAACGGGACTGGGATTACAGAGGTGGAAAAGACAGATGCACTGCTTGCTTTCATGAGGTTTAGGGACCAGCAGAATCTTTTGTGGAATTTACAAACTGGTGGGCAACTGCCCACGGCAGATGTGTTTTATTTGGCCCACGTAGAATCATAAAAGTTTTCTGTTATTAGTTGCTAGTGTTTAAAAATTGGGATATTTCATATAAAACCCCAGATTTTTGACTTCTCTTGACAAATCAGAGTATACGGAAACTGTAGTCAGCCTGACAACAATTTGCCTTAGTGGAGTAGTGGTTGTCTCCCATCCATCAGAGACCACGCCTCTCCCTGTTGCTTCCCTGACACAGAGACCCAGAGTCAGATTCCACCTATCATCACAAATTTTTCTTATTGTTGAGCTAAGAGGAAAGATCCCCAAGTTAATTATATCTGCAAAGACCTTTTTCCAAATAAGATATTTTTATACCAATGTCTCTATCAAAATATCTTTTTCATGCATCCCATTTCACTCTTTCCTATGATGCGCTGACTCCTCAAGGCATTTGTTTGTGACCTGGGGATGATTCCTTTCCTGCAGCAAGGCAGAGCCCCTGGGAGGTTGGAGTGACTGCTGTTCAGGGGAGGGTGAATACAGTGTCCATTTTTTGTGAACTTTGGATTTTCATGATCTGAAACGATGCTGGGGCAATTTTATAGTAAAATCAGGTCAATTTTATTATGTTTAGAAAAAAACTCTAGGTGACAAAGTCTAGGTAAAGCTATATATGACCTGAGGTATGAAATCTTGAATTTAAATGTTGTATTAAGTCAGTAGAACAGAGACTAGAATGGTCCCTGGCACATATTAGGTGATCAATAAATACTTCTTGAATGAATGATTCAAAAATGACATTTTATAATGCCAACTTCTTTTTTAAATAAGGTAGAACAAGAAGATAATTCCTTGAAGGACATCCTTTGCCTCTGAGTTTTCTCTTGTTCCCTCCTTCTTTCTCTTCCTCTCATTCCACACCCATCCACCCATCGCATTAAGACTTATCTTTAGACAAAACATATTAGAGGAAATTTTTCATGCCTAAATGGTTAAATAAAGGATAGGGCACTTGGTTATCTTCGCTGCTGATGAAGTCGTGTGATTAACTGGGTGTTGTGACATTGAAGGACATAAGTGAGAAATATCCAGTTTTATTCTAAGTCTCACAACTTCTGTTTCAGGTGAAGGGGATCGTGCATTTAAAGGTTTTACAGACTTTATCGATGCTCTCCAATCTTGGTCTTGTCTTTGTCCTTGCCTGCCCTGATCTTTCTCTCCCCCTTCTTTATTTGTTCAAGTCTTCCCAGTTAGGCCCGAACTCACAAGTTCCTTTGTGAATCCATACTGATCATTTCTGTCTTCGGTGGCCCCTACCCACAATAATATTATTAGTAACAGCTATAATAATAACAATAACATCAACACCACCAAATTACATTTCTTGAGATTTTACTGTGTACCAGGTCCTGTGTGGAGTACTTCACGTGCATTACTCCATTTGATCTGGATAAAAATCCAATTCAGTAGGGACTTTGTGACCACGCCCATTTTACAGATGTGGAAACTGAGTGTCAGAAAATAACTGGTTCAAGGTCACAGAGCTCACCAGTGGCAGGCTCAGCATTTAAACTCGGGCTCACCTGACTCCAAAACCTCTCCCTCATGCTTTATATGCTGCCTCCGTGAATAATTCCTATAGCACTTAGAGTGGGGCAACTTGCTTCACATTCAGCGTGTGTTGCCTTTTGTTGATATGAACACAGCTTTTTGTGTTCAGTTCCTATTTATTCAAATAAATTGTCAGGCCCTTGAGGGCAGGACAATGATTTTATACCATTTGGTATCACCAGGACTTAGCACAATGCCCTAAAATAATAGAAACCTATTAATTCCTCCTTTATTTCTATAATACTTTAATCTAGCCTCTAAGACAGCATTTATTACATTTACCAGTCTTATTTTATGCATCTGCCCCTGCTTCTAGCCTATAAACATCAAGGATCCCTTATCTCCAGCTCAGTACTTAGTAGCTGCTCAGTAAATACTATCAAGGAATTGAGTCAATGGTTCTTGCTGATGCTGATGACCACACAAAGTTTAACTTTTTCTTTTTAAAATTTCATTTTCCACCTCTGCATGCCATCGTTTTACTGTTCTGCATTCACTCAAATTATTGGACACTGGGCTTAAACATTCAGTTTGAAAAATATTTCAGCAATGTAAATAAATAAATAAATATGATCCAACATAATTATTTATCTATTCTAATTTCTTGTAGCTTTCTCTGGATCTCTATCACACAGAAGATGATATTTACAAACTGTCACTGGTGCTGGAGCCTAGAAATTCTAAATCGGTAGGTATTGTTTTCTCTGTAAGTATCAGTGCCAAACACCATGATTTGTCATTTACAGTAACCAGCCGTTACAGTGGTCCTTTGTGATCTAAGGACTGAAGAATTTTACCAAATCTATATTATTCCCATTTTACCAATGGAACAGCTTAGCTCTGACAGTTCAAGAATTATTTCTTCACATCAGAGGCTAATAAAGAAAAATGTCATTCCCAATTACTATGTTTTATTATTGATCTTGTTTGTGTTGTGTCCCCTCTGAGAACTCACCTGCATGTAGGACCAAAAAGAACAAACCACAATTTATCTTAATGCTAAAGATCATTTAGACCTTTCCAGGATTTTAAAAAAATCCCATTTAACGTAAAATTAGATTTAACAAATTTTAAATACCCTCATTATAATTCACAAATTTCTCTGCTAATAATTGACTCAGCTCAGAATTTCAATATCACATTAGATAGTGTCTCACTTAATTGATGGCTGACTCTTAGTAATGAAACATTATGTAATGAGATTGAGGAAACTGTATTACTGAATGTGCACCGCTCATTAGTTTTAGCAAGTGGACTGTATCTTGGGTATGTTTTGCGCTAATAAAAAAATATCTGGGTGAATTTGAAATTTACAATGAGGATGAGGTTTACATGTTGAAAGGAAAAGTGTCCATGTTTGCTTCTCATACTCATATCCTGAGATCAGTTTTCTTATAAAGGTCTTATACATTACCTCCTTACCAGCTGGACTCTATGGCACATTGCCAGTGACTATATAGACCCTAAGTCTGTCTATCTATTAATACCTGCTGTGATTCTGAACCATCGGACTGAAAGAGGCAGAATGACTGTGAGAATATTGTTCTTTGGTGCTGGGAGGGCACGCCTTGAGTCTGAGTCAGTTGACCTGGTAGCATCTGTTCTTAAAATAGTGACTGTGGCGAGCCAGCCCTGATGACCAGGTGGTTAAGTTTGGTGTGCTCCACTTCGGTGGCCCAGGTTCGGTTCCCGGGTGCGGAACCACACCACTGTCTGTCAGTAGCCATGCTGCATACGGTGGCTCACATAGAAGAACCAGAAGAACTGACAACTATACACAACTATGTACCGAGGGTTTGTGGGGGAAAAAGGAAGAAACAAAAGGAAGAATAGATGTTAGCTTAGGGCAAATCTTCCCCTAAAAAAAAAAAATAGTGAGTGTGGTAGTTCCATCAGCACAATCACCTCCCTGCCAGTCACCAGAGGCCCATCTCCTGGGGACACTGCAGAAGACACAGCAACAGGCAAAGCGAGGAGGGGGGACCAGAGTCTTCAAAGTTAACATGGCTAAGAGAGAGCTAGTGAAAGGTCCAGTTACTGAAGAAAAAGGAATGTGTAAGCTCCACCCTCATTCCATAGCTTTGGTGTGATGAAGCTGGCCGTGGTGTGGTAAGCTGTACCGTACGTGCACACACAGCATTTCCACCTCCCGACACCTTCCTGTAGCTGTAACTAGGCACCTTCATTGCTACCAGTTGGTTATTAGATGCCTGGCAGGGCATCGTATACATGTTATCTCTTTCACATTGTTAAGGAAACCGAGTCTGGTGAGCAAAGGTGTCCTACGTGCACCACATAGCCAGTAAGTGGGAGAGCTGAGATTCGGCCTCAGGCCTGTCTGTCTTCAACATCTGTGGTTTTTCTACCGAGAGACGCTGGCTGTTATTTTCCCAGCACCCCTGTAACAGGAACAGGGTAGGAACGTCCATTTATCACACTTGCTCTCTTTGTGTTCTTTAAATTTACTTTAGTTTATTTTCAAGATAAATTGTTGCCAATTTTAGGAGACGTTTCCGTCAAACATAGAAAGTCTTTTTCTCATTTGTAAAAGCAGACACTTTCAAAGCCCCTTCGAATGCTAAAATCCTATGAATCTGTGAAAACGTGTTTCCCAATGCCATTCTGTCTCTTCTCAAAGGGGAATGTCATCTTATTTTGTGCTTAGTGTTTGACATGTGCTGTAGGGAAAAATTTCCAGTCAGGATGATATTACTGAGAGCCCGTAGCTTCAATGTGCTTACAGTGGTGCCAACTCATGTCCCCTAAATAGTTAGTGTGGAGGTTCTCCCCCTTTTTCTGTTCATAGTGACCCCCTTTGTGCCTCCCTCTTCTTTGTGTTTTACTTCATGTCTAGATTTTTCACACTCTTGCTTCCAAATAAAAACCTCAACACTAATTTCTAACCAAAAAGGCTTAATTAAATTATGTTTTCACCTCTAGGTCAAAAGAAATACCTAACAGTTCCACTTAAAGAATAGTTAGATCCAAGCAACTTAATAAACATTTTATGTCCTAATGACTTAGTACCCACTTGAAAAAATAACATACATATATTGAAAAAATTTTTTTAATTTCATTATTAAATAACCACAATTACTTACTAATGGATGTGTGTACCTGTTGGGCACTGTACAATTTCTTAAATCTTGGAATTAAATTTCGTTCTGCTGCTCCTATTTCTTGTTCCACATTGATTTTTTTTCTTTTTTCTTTTTTTGCTTGAGGAAGATTAGCCCTGACCTAACATCTTTGCCAATCTTCTATTTTGTATGTGGGTCACTGCCACAGCGTGGCTGACGAGTGGTGTAGGTCTGCTCCCAGGATCTGAACCCTCAAACTTGGGTCCCCAAAGTGGCACGTGCTGAACTTAACCACTGCGCCATGTGGCTAGCCCCCTACATTGATTTTTTTGCTTCATAAAGATAAGATATCATTGAAAGAAATATAGCACGATCTAATGGGTGGATTGTGAACTACTTCAAGCTGGTAGATTGCGCGGTGTGCTACAAATACTGAACATTGCTGTATTTCCCTTGGAAGTTTGAAATACCTTTTGATACCCCTCTGAGTTCGCTGCAACGCTTTGAGCAGTGCACCTTGCTGTACAGTTTGGGAACTGTGGGTTTATCCTTTATGAGATCAACAAGATGAAAAGCTTGATAGAAAGAGCCATGATGTGTGCAAGTGTGTGTGTGAGTGTGTCAGTGTGTGGGTGACCATATCCAGACAGCAGGTAATTTTTGGTCATGCTGGTAGCCCACAGAATACTGGCAACAGCCACCTCACAACATTGTTAGGGGCTTAAATCAGCACAGTTACTCCAGAATTCATCTTGCAAAAATGCTTGTTCCCAATTCCGTATCAAGCAAAAAGCCTGCTAATACAGGTTTGCATGCATGCACCAGCAAGAACATTTACGTTGTATGAGGGTCCCAGAGGGGGGATATAAGGTGCACAGCACTCTTGGCTGGTCTCCCTACAGGGTTGTGTTTCACGCTTGTGTTGTACAAACATGTTATGCATTATTGCCACCATCTTCTCTGCGTTATTAAGTGAAAATATCTCCCAAGAACCTGGAAAAACCTGTGGAGAAAGCAAGTTCACCAAAGAGCGCTACAAAGACTTAATGATTAGCCAGTCAGAAGCGATTAAGCATGTTAAGAGAGACTCCGGCATAAGGATATAAACTTGGCTGTGCACTGGGGCCCATTTACTGCACACATCTACTAATTTATCACTAACACCAAGTATTAGAGAATTGGATGACTGGTGTTTTATATATTTTGTATCATACAAAAGTCTGTACGGATTGTTATATAGGTGTTTGAGGATGTGTTAGTAATATTTGGGGAACTTGGGTAGGATTTTTGGATGGGCTGGGAGAGCAATATATTTTTTTTCCATTTAAAATAATAGAATCCAGGCTGCTGCAAAACAAAACACTGTATCCAAACATGTATTTGGTTACAGATTAGATTCCACTGACAAATATTCCACTGACAAACATTCCATCAACGTTTGTTTTCAAAACATTTAAGTGCTATATAAACATAAGTTTTTAATGGTATTATTAATATTAAAGACTTATGTGTCTTTCTCAATGTCTCTGGTCCTAATTGCTCAAAGTCCCAGATAAAGTTGAAAAATGTGTGTGTTTCCTGTCAGCAGCCTACCTCCCCTACGACGCCCACCAAGCCCGTGGTGCCCCTGGAGTGGGCATCAGGAGTGATGCCAAAGCCAGACCCCACGGTCATCAACAAGCACATAAGGAAATTAGTTGAGGTAAGTGGTTGAGGGAGAGTAAAGAGTGAGCACTAGAAAGCTTCTTTCTCTTTCCAGAATATTCTCTGGTTGTCCAGGAATTAGATGGAGTCCGTGAAAACAGCCTTCTGGAGGTAGGAGCAATTTAGCAGACACTTAGCTCTACCTGGCATTGGCCTCTGGGGGAGGATCTCCCAGAAAGGCCCCCTCTCCCCTTCACATCCATCTGTTCTCACTTGCCCAAATACTCTCAGCTACTTCCAGCTACTGTCTTTCCCAGGCATTTGACACCTCTGTCATTGCCCCTCAACCCAAGGGACTGTTAGAGGATTAGAATCTACTCATTAAAAACCCACATGGGTCACAATAAAATACCTGATAAATTGGTTACCTGAGGGTAGGAAAAGACCCTGTAAGTTGGTCAGTTTCTCTTGCTGTACATATTTGGGGGTCTGTGACCCAGCAGCACGATGCCATTTAGGTCAGAAACATCACTTAATGAAGGGCAAGGCTCTGTCAGAGTTTCCAAATAGAAAGAAGAGTAGAGGTGCCAATGGGGGAAAAATGGGAACATCTCAGGTACTAGAAACTGTGATCCTTGATTAAACACCTACTTTAATGAACAGGAACATCCTCTGATGCAAAAGGATCAAGTCTGTGGGATATAGTGTGCTTTTTTATAGGAAAGGATGTTTAAAGAAAAAGAAAGAATGTTCTGCATTTTGGTTCATCCAGGAAACTACGAGGTGCTGAAATAAAAGTTATATGGAGCATGTGAGGCAGGAAGGAAAGATTGGAAAGGGTGAGGGAAGGGGTTGATAAAGCAATTAAGGTCCAAGGAGGTCACGTGATGATGCAGTAGTAACAGAGCCAACTTGGAGCCAGGGAAGCTGGGTGAAGCATCCAGGGTGCATGGAGTTGCAGCTCAGGAAGGTCTAGAATCAGGAAATGGAAGACAGAACTATTCTCTCTCCTACTCTCGTATCCACTTTTCTCTGAATGCTCACTCCTTTGTCTGCAGACAGGCTTCCTTTGCTCCACATGGGGAGTCTGTTTCTTCCTCCCTCCCCACTCTTTCTTATACATTTCTCTTCTCTTCTCTCAGATTCCAATTTCATGGGGAAGGTTGGCCCAGTTTGATAAATTGCCTACTGTTGGTTTAATCAAATGAAAGACTAGGTTTTATTGTGAATTTTCATACTAAATTTTATTCCACAAAAAATATTGTATTCCCAGTATAAATATGGATATTAGACTATAAATAGTAGGCACTCCATAATAGTTAACTTTAAGCAATTTTAATTATGGATAAGTATTGATATTGGGATTTGCAAAAAAAATGTAATGCTTTTTGACTATACAATTCTGTTATCTGTGGATAAACTTACAATCGTTGCTAAACAATCATATGTATATATATTTTTTTTTCGTGAGGAAGATTAACCCTGAGCTAACATCCATTGCCAAACCTTCTCTTTTTGCTGAGGAAGATTGGCCCTGGGCTAACATCTGTGCCCATCTTCCTCTACTTTATATGTGGGAAGCCTGCCACAGCATGGCTTGATAAGCGGTGCGTAGGTCCACGCCCGGGATCCGAACCTGCGAACACTGGGGCGCCAAAGTGGAGCATGTGAACTTAACCACTATGCTACCAGGCCAGCCCCATAAACAATCATATTTTTAATTAAGTAATTTGTTCATTTATACTTTGCCAACTTCCCCAAATACTCCTAAAGCAGCTTGTGACCTAGGACAGTATAGATAAAATAGAATAGAAAGAAACCACAGGGAAGAGAGAGAAAGATCCATTCTAACTGGACTCTAGGTCAAATATATGTTTGCATACACGCGTCTGCAGGGAGAACTTACAAACCTTTTTGAAAACCCAGCTTAGCAGAGGGCAATGGAAAGATCTTTTTTATGTTTCTCTAATTATAAAGAAAGCCCGAATCATTGTAAATAATTAAACATTACATAAAATATAGAAAATACAAAGTTTTACTTTCAGGCCTTGGTAATTCTACTCTCTAGGGATAACCACTGATAATTTGTAAATTATCTTTATACGACTTTATCCCCCCCACCCCCACATAGACACACACACACACACACACACACGTGCATATATACATGTATATCTTTGAGCAACCTTGTTCAATTATTTCTTTAGAACAATTCCAAGAAGTGGAATTGCTGAGTCAGAGAGTAAGCACTGATTGTCCTCCAGAAAGATTGTGGCTATTTACTTCATCAACTTGATATGAGAGGGCCTATTTTCTCATACTCTATGAGATTATCAATTATTTTAATGTTTTCCAATCTGAGAGGTAAAAAAAAAAAAATGTTTCATTTGCTCTTCTATAATTATTAGCAGACTTGAGCATCTTCCATGAGTGTTTTGGCCATTTGCATTTTTACTTTGGTGATTGCCTGTTTTCCTTTTGTGTCTTTGCTCCCATATATGTTGGAAATAATTTTCTGTTATTTATCTTAAATTTGTTAATTGAGCTTTTTTGATTAAAATATTTTGCATTTTATTGTAATAAAATATTTTTGTTTATGGCTTCTAACTTTGATATGCTAAGAAAGGCCTTTCCCACTCAAAGATTATAAAACAGCACAAATATTTTCATCTATTTACCTTTGATACTTTTATAGCTTTATTGTTTTACATCAAAATATTTAATGCATCTAGAATTTATTTCGAGGGCAATTAATTTTGTAAGATTATTAGCCATTTAACTCAAAAGCAATTATTGGATAATCCATAATTTCCCTGTGGATTTGGAAAGATACTTTTTGATATTCTGAGTTCTCATATATACGTGGATCCATTTCTGGACTTTACTGTCTGCAGTAAGTTATGATACCATGTTGTTTTGATTAATGTAGTTTTGTAGATTATTTGATTTCTTGTAGGGCACATTCTCCCTCATTATTTCTCATCTTAAACAATTTTAGGTTATTCTCAACATGTTCACTTCTTTTTGAACTTTAGAATCAATTTGTTCATTTAAAACAAATTCCCAGTGGGATTTGATTGGAATTGCATTAAATGTATACTTCAATTTTTGAGATAATTATACATTTTAAAGCTTCATTTCCTATTGTCATAATATTGGCATTTCTGAATTCAACAAGCCTAACTCCTGCTCGACCCTGAGGTTTCAGTTTAGATCTCACTTTCTCCAGAAAACCTTTTAAAATCTCCTTCCCTCTTCCCCGCAGAGCACTCTGTTTTTATCCTCAGCACTGAGCTTATCTTGTTATACCATAAATCTTCTTGATTTTGTTATCTCCCGCTAGATTCCAAGCTCCTTGATAGAAAGAATAATACGCGAGTTATCATTGCTTTCCCAATAATGAGTTCAGAGCCTGACTCATAGTCATTCAATAAATATTTGTCTTTCCTTTGCAGTCTGTATTTAGAAACTATGACCATGACCATGATGGGTACATCTCCCAAGAAGACTTTGAAAGTATAGCTGCCAATTTTCCCTTCTTGGATTCCTTCTGTGTGCTGGACAAAGATCAGTAAGTTTTGTTATATTTTAATGCAACTGTCCTGAAGCAGAAAGTTATTTTCGGAGGAGAGCAGGGAAACCTTTAATTTACATCTTGACAGCTTCGATCCTACTGGTTGATGAGATGAAACTAACTTTTCGCTGATTTTTTTCTTGGTGTTCACGGACATGACTGGTTGGATGCAATCACAAGGCAGACCACATCATCAGTGTTGAGTACAAGCACTCATTTGCAAGTTAGCCTGGCTCTCCATTTCCCATATTACTTCTACTGCTTAGCTAATTCATCACCCCCAAAAAAAAGAATAGAGGAGAAACAGAGTTAGATCTAGCCTGGTAGAGCCCTCAGCATTAGTGGACCTGAGGGCAATCTTAAAACTCATCAGATAAGTAAGATATTTTAAATTACTTATGGCCTTTAGGAGAGCAGGTGATGGCTGCAGACAACCAAGAAATGTCCATGCTTTTTTTTCTTTGCTAGTTCAAAGGTTGTATCATTTCTCTTTAGCTTCAGATGATTCCTGAAAAATTAAATGACTTTAGAAGCTAAAACCCAGCCCATTAAAAAAGTAGTGATTAAAAAAAATTTTGCCAAGAAATCCTGGCATTAATAAATTGATTGCTTAATTTTAATTAGTTCCTAGATTAAAAATCATCTGTAATGAAATGTTGGATTTTATATTGGTGAAATGTCCAAATTATATCACATTAAAATCCACTAAATTTTTGTTGGTGTGAGAATTTTTTTTTTAATTAAATCCGTAAGTAATTCAACACACCAAGGAAAGCCTTGGTACTTTATCATAAATGTCTTAAAACCTTAATTCATCTTCACTGTATATCTAAACAAAGAATATTTTTTAAACAAATTAAATTTATTAGAGACATAAACTTCCTTTACAAAATAAAATTTAAATTACCTGCAAATTTCCCACTTTTTTCCTTAGTTTGCTTCTACCAGTGGCACACACGTAAGCCATGCACTTAAAATCACTTCCTAGTCTTCATTTCTTTTCTCTGCTGCTTCTTTAGATAGAACTGAGACTATCTAAGCAGATATATAAATACGTATAATTTTTATAAAAATGAAAGCTTGAAGTATTCATGGCTCACACGATTTCTTTCGTCAGATAGGTTTAGCTATGTTGATTTCGAGAGGAGAGTGAACCATCTGGGAAGAGATTCTAGCAAGTTGTTGAAGATGGTACCAAGAGTCAGAACAGTCAGGGCAGGAGATGCAGACTGTTAGGTCTTCAGCCCAGCTGTGTAAGCCAGAATCCCAGGAGTGTGAGCAAATTCTGGTGGGAAAGTTTAGAGGAATGTGAGCATGGGGCCTGAGGAATGCGGCTTCGGGGACTCCTCTCCCCACATGCAGAAGCTAAAAGGAAGAAGTGGGTCCTGCAGAAGAGCTGGAGAAGGAGGAGCATGAGAGGCAGAATGGAAACCAGGGCTGCATGGAATCACAGGTGTCCATGGAGCAGAGAGTGTCAAAAAGGAGGAAACCTGTCCCCATGTCGCATGCTGCCGGGAGGTCAAGTTCGAGGAATGAGAAAAGGCCACTGAGGATGTCATTGTGACAGCTTCAATAGAATGGTAGGGTTAGACACATGATTGTATGGAGCAAAGACTAATCGAAGGAAATGGAAAAAATGTCTGATGAATACTCTTCTTGAAAACTTTGGGAGTAAGAGAAAGAAGAGAGAAAAGACAAGCATTGGAGATGGCAGAAAGAATGAGGAAAGACATTTTTTAGGAGAGGAAGTCCTGAGTGTATTTATAAACAGAGGAAGGAGTGGGTGAAGAGATGGAGCAAAACCTGGAAGGAGCAGTGTCCTGTGGGGGCTGGAGAATGGGGGGTAGGAGCATGACTTCCTTTGAGACAGGAGCACCCCGAGAGAGGACAGATGAGCTATAAAGGAATTCTGAATTGGCGCAGAAGGGTGTGGTCTCCAGCTCATGCTGACGTGGAGAGAAGGCAACATGAAGCTCACCTACGCCAAGTGGATTTGATCTCTTTTGGTAAACAAGAAGTCAGGGTGTGTGGTGGTGGGTGGAACGGGAGGTTTCGTGAGGAGAAGATCTAGAAGAATTGCTCTAGCAAATGGTCTGTGAGCCAATAAGACATGAATGAAAATATTACCAATGGCAGTGTCCTGGATGACATCAGGCTGAATGAATTTGAGAATAGTGGGCCCAGTTATTACAGTTTTCTGCCTTTCTCCAGTAGCCTGATTCTTACAAACCCTATTGCGAGGCAAGGGCTAGAAAAGAGAAGTCCTCCTGGAAACTACTATTTGGTAATGAAGGAGAGACTCTGTGCCGTGGTACACAGGTCACACACACACACACACACATACCACTTCTGCTTACTAAGAAACCCTTTGGCACTTATGCTGTCCTTTGAGGTCCTCTCCTCCTTCCAGATATAACAGAGAAGTGGACATTTCCCATCTGTTATTGCCCACAAAGTTTTCAGAGGTGGATGATTAAAGTGTGGCAACTACTTAGCCATATGGTATTCTAACATTCCTCCTTTCTTGGATTCTTTTCACAGAGATGGCCTAATTAGTAAAGATGAAATGATGGCTTACTTCCTGAGAGCTAAGTCCCAACTACACTGTAAAATGGGACCAGGATTTGTCCATAATTTTCAGGAGATGACCTATCTCAAGCCAACCTTCTGCGAACACTGTGCAGGATTTGTAAGTCTGTTTTCCATTGTTTTCTCTTGTATGGAGTTATTTGTGCACCACTCTGAGAAGGTAGGAAAATGATACTGTAACAGAGTCCATTGCCTGCCTAGATCAGAAATAAAATATGATGGCTCCCTGAAATTAAAAATTAAATTAAAAACAAAAGCAAGATCTGCGGGTTTAGCTACGTTCTTTCTAGGAATGCAGGGCTGGCGAAGACAGGGAAGGTTGGTGAGGCCTGTTAGCTCAAGAGGGCAATGTGTCTATTAATCTCTGCCAGGAAATGTTCTGCCCAATGACCCCCAGCATTCCTCACTAATACTCATAAGCAAGTGCAATTAAGGGGAGTATTTATGTTAGCCAGTTCCTCCCAGTTATTGTTTCATATGGTGTCAGTTACTAGAAATCCATCATGGCATGGCTCAATAATTCATAACTCAAAAAAGAAAAAAAAAATCTTTTTGGAGAAAAGATGGTTATAATAATAAATAACATTTACTTGGCACTTGATGGTAATGAAGTACTTCCATAGACATTAGTGTAATTAATCCTCATGACTAGCCCATGAGGTGGGCATGTTACTCTCCCCATTTGCCTATGAAGATGGAGAGGTCCGCAGAGGATAACTCAAGTTTCCCAGGATTGCACAGCCAATAATGACCAGATCCTGGACTCAAACACAGGTGTTCTGACTCTGAATCCTGTGCTCTGCCTACACCACTGCAACAAATGAAGATTGTATGCTTCATTTCCCCACATTTGATAATGCTATGGCAACTAAGGTCAGCTTTGGCCCTGGTATTAAACAAAGACTCTTGGGCCCTGAACATCTTCTAGTTGATACCAAAGTTATATAAGGTGGAAAATGTGGTACTCTAGGTGAGGGTGGCCCAGCAGCCAAGCGAGTATGACTATTGCTTCCCTGTCCAGATGCCAGGGCTCAGCTATGTTAGCTTCATTCAGTAGTCATGTCCCACTGGTCACCCATATTGAATTCACAGCTGATGTTATATGCTACCTCTAAATGACATTTTCCCCATCCCATGCTTGAAGAACTGGCTTTGAGGGGCCCAAAGGCAGGAGTTTGTGTTCAAGCACACACCCCTCTGAGAATGGATAAATAAGAGGCAATGGTTATCTCAAAGATGGCCTCAGGTGGTCACAAGAGCTGATGTGGTCAAGGGCAAGGCCAGCCTAACTAGCTCCCTTCGCCCACTCCAGGGAGGGAGAGCTTCTTCTATCAGCTTTGCCACTGGGACTGCATCACCTGACCATTTCTACATAAAACAAATGCATCTCCTTTTTCATGTTTCTCTCTTCTGATGGGAACTTTTCACGTATCTAGACCTGAAAAATGCTGAAGTGGGATGGGGCCATGTATAACTCTCTCCTGCAGACTGGGGCCCAGTGAATCTGTTAGGCCATGGCACAGCTCAGCCAAAAGTCAGCTTGAGACATCAGTCCTTTGGTGTGATGTGAGAGTTGGAAGGCCATTATCAAATCTCAAGGTCTTATCTCTGCTCTCCAGTCCTTCTGGATGTCTCTTCCTTTTATGGAGGCATTGGTTCTATAGAAGCAGAAAGGCAGTCTTTCTCGGGAGCTTCTACACTCGTCTCCCCAACTCACGAGAGCAGATTTGCTGGCACTAGTTCTTGACGCAGCTGTGATGAGGTAGAAAGCTCTGGACTTGGAGTCTGGAACCCTGGCTTTGAATCTCAGTTCTGCCCCTTATTAACTCTATGTCCTTGACCAAGTTATTGATCATCTTTGAGTCTCTGTTTTCCCACATGTTAAAGGGGGTCAATACTTACCTGCCATATTGTTGTGATGATTAAATGATATCAGACATGTTGCACGTCACATAGCCCAGAGTAAATATTTCCTTTTTTTTAGTATTCCTTGATACTTTTGGGGTTTACTTGAAATTAACTCATTTAGAGTTTTGATAGCCCTTTTTATTTTTCAAAATATATTTAATTTCATTGGTACAATTTGATTTGATCTTTGCTCACATTTTTTAAACAAGTCCATTGGTTTTTAAAGGGATTTATAAATTTAACTCACTAGATGTGTTGAAAGGAATTTTGGGGGAATGCAAGGAACCATGTTTCAGTGCCTGGACCACTTGCTTTTGAAATAAATTCCATCTTAAAGGTAAGGAAGACAAACAGACACTACTTGAAATACATTAATTCCAGAACTGAAAGAGTTTTGCTAATTCCCTTATTTTGAGGTCTGGAAAAGTTAAGTGACTGCTTCAAGGTCACATGGACCATTAGCAGCAGGACCATGACTCATATCCAGGTCTGCTGACTCCCAGTCCAGTGCTCCTCACACTACAAACATTCACTCCAAATCTTACGGTAGCCTGAGGTCTCAAATCAAAGGACTGTAGGAAGTACTCCTGCATACCACCTACATGAGGTCGCCATCTCCTGTCTTTGGCTGGCACGCTGCCCACCACCTCTTCCTGCCTTGTGTTATCTCCTAGTTATTAAGTGAGCATTAGCAAGCAATGCCCTGACACCCCCTTCCTGACAGGACTCATGCTTGACTATATCTTTTACAGCACTTCCTGCAGCTATGCTAATAATGTGCCAGGTCCAGATATTAGCATGCTTCTTCTTAAATCTTAACCCTTTTTGTCCCAGATCAGTGGCTTTTGCTCACACACAAAACATCCAGGAGCTATGGCTTCCTGTCTTTCCCTCAAGTGACACATTCTTCTTTCCCTACTTACTAGCTACGAGACCTTGTCGATGGACTCCACCTCTCTGTAGCTCAGTCTCCTCAGCTGTAAAATGAGAAAATTATTATTACCTATCCCATAAGGATATTGTGAGCATTACATGAGTTAATACACACAAAGAACTTAAAACTGTGCCTCTCACATTAGCAAGAGTTCAATAAACATTAGCCATCATTATTATTGTTATGGGGGCCGGCCCCGTGGCTTAGCGGTTAAGTGCGTGCGCTCCGCTGCTGGCGGCCCGGGTTCGGACCCCGGGCACGCACAGATGCACCGCTTCTCTGGCCATGCTGAGGCCGTGTCCCACATACAGCAACTAGAAGGATGTGCAACTATGACATACAACTATCTACTGGGGCTTTGGGGGAAAATAAATAAATAAATAAATAAATAAATAAATAAAATTATATTATTGTTATGACTAGTACCAAGGGCTCCGTGAGGAAACAATTTCCTATCACTACAAAGTTTCCCAGATGTGGGAGCTTGCAAATTATTTAATTTCCTGGATCATCACACTCACCCTTTATAAAAGAGAAGCAAACTAGATGATCTTAAAGATCCTCATAGCTCTGAACATGTGATTGTCCTGACCACTCACTTCCCTTTTCCAAACTGACTCCTCCCCGTCCCTCATCCAGTCATCCTAGGCACCTGAGGACTTGCTTCCAGTTAGTTGTCTTAATAATCCTTCCTGTCCCCAAGGCAAAATGTTGCCCTGTTCCAGGAGACATTTGCATCTTAATAATGTATTCTGAAGGACCAAATACCTTTTAAGGCTCAGAGGAATCACTCTCCACTGGTGGAATTTCCTTGTCAGAAAGAGGGCAAGGGGCAGCCTTCCGAATGCCCTTGAGTCACTTCACATTGGCAGCTACTTACTCTTCTCATGGGGCTATGATGCCCACACTCAGGACGTTGTTCTCCTATAATACGTCGTGAACGACACCCCCACCAGCCTCAGCAGGCCACCCGCCCTGTTTCTTTCAATTAAGTTTCATTTTATTAAGTAGATAGCAGTCACCTAACCTAACCACTAAAAGGTTAGGAATGGAGCTTCTCCAGCTTGAGCTAAGCCCATTTAATTCATCAGTGCTGTACCTTTCTGGTGTCCCTGGTACCCACGTGCAAGTACTGTGGGAGTCACGAGAAAGAACACGGGAAGGCCCCTTCTTCAAGAAGTTTACGTGTGTCTGGAGGGCAAAGACACCACCACCACGATGATGCCCCTGAGCTGCCTGGGCAAATGCTCCCTCCTGGAACTGAAGGCCCTCACATATCTCCTGAGACATTTGTCACTTCCCTACATCCTGCTTCCTACGTGGTTGGCAGAATCTGAGTCTTTTTTACATCTCCCACAGCCCCGGCACAGGCCAAATACGGATCAAATACAAAGAATGAGTACATGAATAAATAGTAGATCTTTTCCTCTTCTGTATTCCTTCAAGGTACAAATGCTACTCAGACAATAACCTAGCAAAATCCAAATGCTTTAGTGGGATGTGCGCTGTTTAGGTTGCTTAATTTCCTGTAGGGGGCGCCAAGAGAAGCTAATGTGATTAAAAAGAAGGCAGAGGGTGCTAGAGGCTTCCAAAGACAGAGTGAAAAAGACTCTACCATAAATTTTGCTGAAAGCGCAGCATGCCCAAGTCCAATTTGGCTCCCAGAAAGAAAAGGGAAGCATAACTCCTGTTATCGCCCCAGCTGGAGTGGGGGCTGGGAGAGGATTCTTCTATCTGACAGGAAGGGTGTCAGGAGCAGCTACATCCTGTTTGTGCTCCACCAGTCACTACGCTTCCCAGGACTTCCTTCTCTGTGGCCTTGTTTTCTTTCCAGATTTTTCTTCAGATTCCCTGATACTCCTTTGTCTTTTGTTACAGCTCTGGGGCATAATCAAGCAAGGATACAAATGCAAAGGTAAATAAATGTTATTTGGTTAAATTGTAAAATGTGACATTTGGGGCAGTAATCAAACTTGTCCGATGAAACCACAAAAGCTCTTGGCATCATGGAGAACTTGGGTCTTTTGGGCCACTGGCAACTGAAGAGTTAATGTGTCCAGGAAAGGACTCCCTGGGGTTCTGGAGAGCCTAGAGTGGAATTTTTTAGCTTCTTACAAGAGCAAGCAAACCACCCTTATCAATCTGCATACGTGTAGCCCCCATCTTATCAATCTGCATACGTGTAGCCCCCATCTCTAAGACATCTTGTTAATCAGGAGCCCATGGTTACGGTGGGAATTCTGAAGTGGGACAGGCCCAACTAAGATACTGTATATAAGAACTTTATCCTTCAAGGGAAAACAACACACACTCGTTTCTGTAATACGTATGCATATCCTTTCACTTCATATAGCTCTTCCTTTCTCTACTAGATCACAGATGACGCTGAGAAAAGAGAAGAAACCTTAAAACTTATTTTTCTCCCTTTCAATAAATTCGTTTGTATGTCTCCCTCATTTAATTGAAATTTATAAACAATTGAATAACTGTGCATTTGGTAAATGCGATACACATGCACATTAATAGGCATTTAGGAATGTGTTGCTACTTGTACATATATTATTATTACACTTTATTGGTGTTTAATTTAAACAATTGCTGGATATTTTATGCAGACTGTTTATACTGGTTCTTTTAAAAATATGATAATGCTCTTGAAAAATAGAATAAAACTACAAAAGGAAACATCTTAATCACAGAATGCCTTCAGATTAATATTATTCCCTTGTGATGCCTTTTTCTCTCCAGCCATCTTTCAGTACTTGGCCCTCATTTTGCCTGAACAGAGAGCTTCCCTTAACTTCAATGGGAGCCACCTTTTACTGCTCGAAAAAACTTTCCCTTTAGTTCTCTGTATCAATTATGTTCGTCTAACTTGGATTTTTACTTTCAAGCAGCAAAGATATTGCAACATCTTACTGCTCGGCCATAAGTCATTAGTTTTATTCTGGTTTCTGTCTCATCTCCTAAAAGACACACACACACACACAATTTTATGAAGATGAAAATCAATTAAACCCTTGGATCATCTTTGTACATATGGTATTTTCTCTTAAAGTCACATACAGTGAAAAAGCTAATTAAAATGGACTGAACATGTCATTACAATTTGATCTTTCTGTGATGTCATTACAAGACCATTTGAAACAAGACCCTTTGGGGAAAAATGGGTACTGGAAACAACTAGAATGGTTCTCTTTGATGGTGAAAGAGAGATACACTCTTTAAAATGATCATATCTGTTCAGTGAGCTTAAGGGAAATGTAGGACCCTCATCATATGAAATAATTGTGTCGCTATCTTCCAAAGTGGCCAAAATTTTCTACCCTAAGTAGCAATTAATATTCTACTTCCTTAACTAAAGCACCCTAATGGAAATTTCACAGAATCTGCTGTATGCCATTTCACAGCCATAGTCAAATCTGGAACACGTTTATTGAGCATTTGCCCACCTTGTTTTTTGTTTCTATGCAAAGGAGATACAGTCTCTTGGCCGTAGAGAAGGTTTTGGGAAATGAAGAAGAATGAAAATTACAGACAAATACTGACTGGAGGGAGACCTCGCCGTACATGATCAGAGACAGCAGTTGGTCATGGGAGAGACTAGGAGCTGGGACTTCTCGCTCTCATTCTGGCTCAGGGGCCTTCTTGGGGGAATCCTTCTTGGCCTGGGAAAGAACACCAGTCCTATGTAATTTGCATTTAGTTTTGGGCAAAGGCAACCGCCCCCCTCAGGCTATCCCCTGCTGGTTTGCTCCCCAGCGCTTCAATGAATTGTGCAGAGGAAGAAGCTGAAGAAATATGAGACTTTTAGGAACCCCAGGAAGGCAAGAGTGACCCATTGGCCCTTTCTAGCCCCTAGACACACCCTGTGGGCTTGAGTTGGACTCTCAGATTCAACACAGAAACGAACATGGGGGAGGGGAGGCTGACAGCTCAAGCACCGCCCATTCAGCACCAGACACACGTGGTTCACACTAATCATCTGTGATACTTTGGGATTTTTCAGACTGTGGAGCCAATTGTCACAAACAGTGCAAAGACCTCCTGGTTCTGGCCTGCAGGAGATTTGCCCGGGCGCCCTCCTTGGGCAGTAGTCATGGCTCGCAGCCTGGAAGCCCCTCGTTGCCCCCAGGTAATGTTCTCTACTTTCTTTCCTACCACAATTTCTCTCTGCTCATCTTCCCACACCTGGACCTTGGTTGGGTTCTGGACCTAAACCCAGCCAGAGTCATTATAGACACCAAGGCCTTCTTCAGGGTGAGCAGCAGTCGCTAAACCCTTGAGTCCCGCTCATTTCTCTCTGCTTTCAGGTCTCACTAAAGGGCAACTCACCTGCAAACAACTTAGTCCTGCCTCTGGTCTGTTCCTCTAGGACCTTGCCTGTCAAACTCCAGAGGTTTGCACCAACTTTGATGGTTTGCCGTGAAGCAGTCAGATGTCAAATAATCACAATAATCTTTCCCCTTCCAGTGCAGGATGAAGTGTTTGAGTTCCCTGGCGTTGCTGCTGGACACCGAGACCTGGACAGCAGCGCCATCACGCTGGTTACAGGCTCTTCTCGCAAGATTTCCGTGATGCTGCAGCGGGCCACCACCAGCCAGGCCACACAGACCGAGCCTGTATGGTCCGAGGCGGGCTGGGGGGACTCAGGGTCCCACACCTTCCCCAAAATGAAATCCAAGTTCCTTGACAAAGCAGCAAAGGACAAAGGCTTTGCCAAGTGGGAGAACGAGAAGCCCAGGGTGCAGGCTGGTGTGGATGTTGTTGACAGGGGCACCGAGTTCGAACCTGACCAGGATGAAGCAGACATGGATGAGACCAGACAGGATGGTGAGGTCAGTGCTGGATCAAATCACAGATGAAGTCAGAAGAGGGAGGCTGAAAGGGGCTGAGATGAGCATTATAGCGAGTCCAGGAGGCAGCCTAGTAGTTTTGAAATTGGGAATCAAGACACATCACTTTTAGTCTTGCTCTGGGCTAATTATGTGACCCTGGGCAAATGATTTCTTCTCCTTGGACCTCAGTTTCATCATGTATAAAACTGAACCAGATGGATTCTAAAATTTAGTGACGGTTGCCATGTCTTGGTGCTGAAATGCTGTCCCAGGGACCCATGACTATTGCGTGTATCCAACATACCAGTACCTTATACTGATCAGCTTAGTTTTCCAAGCTAGAATCAGGACCCAAACCCAGGGGAGGCAGTGGAAGCAAAAGATTTATAGATAGAGAAGGAGAGTTGGAAACTCTTGACCCTACTGAAAAAAGAGGCTTCTGACAGAATCATGGAGAAGGGAGTGGTGAGAATCAGAGACATGAGGACCTCAAGGTTCTATAAGCCAGGCTCTGCTTCTACACAAAAATTACAACTCAAATCATCCAAAGCAAATTGGGAAGCATATGGAATTTGTTAGAACAAGCTGAAGATGTAAATTGATTCAAGATGGACTTAGATAAATTTATTAGTCAACAGTCCACAGTGTATTAAGAAAAACGGATTTGGGGAAATTGGTGTCATATTCCTGACTTTAAAGCAATGTCATGGAGGGCAGCCATTGCTTCCCTACTGAATCGTTCTCATAAGCAGAATATTGGGTTAGGCAGAGATCCTATTGGATCAAGCCAGTGGTCTTTATTCTTATGGGTGGTCCTCCACATTCCACACTTCAGAAGACCTAAACACACGATCTCCATAGTTTCCTATGATGAGAAAAACTTCAATGACCTTTAACCAAAATTTCTCAAGTTCCTTCCTCACTGAAGACAATTAATAAGGAGGCCACACATTATCTTCAGTCATGTGAAGTTTATTGTAAGTTCCTGCTGAACCATTTTTTTCCTTTCTTATACACCAACTTTTAAAAGCAGCTTTATTGAGATATAATTTATGTACTATAAAATTTACCCATTTAAAGTGTATAATTCAATGGTTTTTAATATTTTAACAGAGTTGTGCCACCATCACTACAATCTAATTTTAGAAAATTTACATCATTCGAGAAAGAAACCCTGTATTTATTAGCAGTCACTCTTCAACTCCCCCACCTCACCCGAGCCCTAGGCAACCAACTAATTTACTTTCTGTCCCTATAGATTTGCAATGCCAACTTTATTTTTAACCTTTCCCCTACTGATCATCTTGGCAAATATTTCAGTCCTATCTTTCCACTTCTTCTACTGGCCTAGCTTTGTTCAAGCTGGGAATATAAAGGTGAATAAGAAAAAGTTCATGATTTAGTGACAGAGGAAGATAGTCTAGGGCAAGGGATCTTAACTTGGGCTCTAAAAAGGGCTTCAGGGAGTTTATCAAAGTACATTATATTTTATGTGGAATTATACATGGACATATCTGGGGAGAGGGTCCACAGCATTGAGCAGATTGTTAAGGGGGTCTGCAATCCAAAAAAAACAAGGTATCATTGTGTAAGATTTCTTGGATGATACCTGAAATTGTGCTAGTCGCCCCAAGTACCACCTCAGCCTGCAGAGGCTGTGTCCATGAGCAATGTAGGCGTCATTGAAATCTCAGGAAAAGAGCTTCTATGGGTAGAATCATGCAATGCCCACCTAGAGCTCTCAGGACGGTGCCCACTTCGTGGACCATCTTTGAATTCAGAGCAGTATCTGCTTTTGTTTAACAAATAGTGAAACTAGCCATGAGTTCGCTTCTATTGGCCGAGCACCGTTCAAGTTACTTAAACCTTGCTCCTGGGTTGGGAGAAATTCACAGCCTGTTAGGTATAGGACAATCACTTGCATGGGTAAGATTTCCTGATCTCCAATCTCTATAAGGAAATAAAAACAAGATCTAGGGTTTTTTAAATTTAATTTTATTCTTTGAAAATTGGATCATTATATTCAGGTGTTGTCTTACCCTTCCAATTTTATCATCTCATAAATCGTAGAGACGGTTCACTGACCACAAGTATTTAATTTCATTTGTGCTAATTGAAGAACGCAGTATGTTCTTATGTAAAATGCATATGGGATACAGTCTCACTCTCATCCAAATCAGCAACAAATGAGAAGACATTTACCCTAGTTTAGGGAAAAAAGCAAGAAGGAAAAATTGTGACAAAATTATACCCGAGCGTTGAATATGTAGACGAAGGAGTTTTCAAATTGAAGAATTTTTCTGGGGCCTGCCCCGTGGCGTAGCGGTTAAGTGCGCGTGCTCCACTGTTGGTGGTCCAGGTTCAGATCCCAGGCACACACCGAGGCACCACTTGTCAGGCCATGCTGTGGCGGTGTCCCGTATAAAGTGGAGGAAGATGGGCACGGATGTTAGCCCAGGGCCAGTCTTTCTCAGCAAAAAGAGGAGGATTGGCATGGATGTTAGCTCAGGGCTGATCTTCCTCACAAAAAAAAAAAAAAGAAAGAAAAGAAAAAAGAATTTTTCTGCCAGGCAAGACCAATGAATGGCACTAGAAGAAATGATTTACACATTTATTATTTAGGATCAGATGATGTTTATGAGTCCTATAAGTAAAACTGATAGACAGAAAAGGCTGTTGTGTTTGTAATCTGTATATTTCCTTTCGTGGAGTTTCAGGATTTACACTCATTTTAAAATATAAGGGTGTGAACGTTTTCTGCAGTGGTGGATATCATTTCACCAATGATCATTTAGCCCCTGGATGGCAGGAACAGGTCAAACTTAATCTCTTGGCAGTAAGAATATGTGTATTTCTGTTATAATACTTCTTTGTTTTCCATTACCTTCTGCTAAATTAAATCTAATCAACAAATACCATAGAAGAGCTAGAAAATGCTGGACTAAACAAAGTTGAATGTTTACGTATCTCTCTCTCTCTCTCTCTCTATATATATACACCTATATATAGGTAGAGATATCTTTTTCCCTTACAAATTTTCTCAGTGCCCTTATACTAATTCACAATGTGCATTTCTAAGAGGGAAACCTCAACAAGGAACATTTCACAGACCAATGTTTTGTGGATCACCCTTTACAGAGCATTATAGTAAGCATCCTTGTTGCACTCTGTATGGACATCTTTAAGATGTCATGAGATGGGTGGACTACATGATCTTTTACTTCCCTCTACATCTTGAGAGTAGAAGGTACTGATCATTTGAGATATTTCCTCGAATTTATCTGATAAACTACTTTCTAGGAATATTTTTATTTTGTTAAATGAGACCCAGCCATACCACACGTTCTGATTCATATTGCAGGATGGCTGACTTCAGGCTGAGGATACTGAAGGCAAGAATGTTGGCATTTGGAAGAAACAAGATGAGAAACTCTGAAGAATACTTCAACTCTCAGGAACTTATCTGAAAAGACATCTGGACCTTTACTGCCTTGTAACACCATGGGATCTCCTTGATTGCACTAAGGGACAGAGGATTTATTTACCCTATGAACTATTTATTTCCTTCTCCCTTGCCCTAGTTTGGTGCCACGAAGACTGTGTTATGTAGTTGGTAGTTTTGTCACATATCTTTCTCTAGAGCCGTTTATGTACGGGTGAAATGAAAGCTTTTGCACATGTGCTTGATACTTATTCTCTAAACTCAGACTTTGCTTTTTGTGCGAGAATATTATTTCAGTATTTTTATAAACTTTTGTGGGGGGAGTTTTATGAGGAGTCGATTTAAAAGTCTTTTTGTGTGCTTTTTGGATGGGACCAGGACTTAACATTTTTTTGAGGGACAAGGACGCTCTTAAGATCCTGGAGTGCAGTGGATCTTCTAATGATGATCTGTTACAAGGAGAAGCTGTTTACACTGTTCTTACCATACAGTTGCTATTATGATGTGTAACAAGTCACACATTTATATATCACATAAGTCTTATCAATTCTGCATCACTAGGAAGCTATGACACAGCCATAAAAACTCTCCTAATATTTATAATTGCCATGGGGGAAAATTAACTATACTTGCCCCATCTGACCAGGTTTAGCTATCTTTCTTAAGACTCCTATTAAGAAATGTGGGGCCGGCCCTGTGGCTTAGCAGTTAAGTGCGCACGCTCCGCTGCTGCGGCCTGGGGTTCGCCAGTTCAGATCCGGGGGCACACACCGGATCTGGGATGCACCGCTTGTCAGGCCATGCTGTGGCGGCGTCCCATATAAAGTGGAGGAAGATGGGCATGGATGTTAGCCCAGAGCCAGTCTTCCTCAGCAAAAAGAGGAGGATTGTCAGATGTTAGCTCAGGGCCTATGTTCCTCACAAAAAAAGTGACCAGTCAGAAACTTTACCCACGGAGGTGCGCTGGTCCACATTTGGGAGTTTAAGTGTGTCTATTCCATCTAAGGCTGAATTCGTTTCTATTTGTCAGTCCAGTAAAGAAATTCCTTTCTTCTCTTTTTCCACTAGGTAGTTGAGGACAGTTCTGTTCAGCAAATACTTGCTGAGCACCTGCTCTGGGCAGGTTCTACGCTAGATGCACAAAGGCAAGCAACACTTGGTTTCTGCTCTCAGGAACCGAGAGCCTGTGGGCGTTAAGGCAAGATGTTCCTTAAAATACGGTTCCAAATTTGCTAGAACTGACTTAATTGTGCCGTACAGATTCAGAGATCAATTTGCAGAGATATTGCAAATTAAATGAAGTTATTAGCTGAGGGAGCTGTGATTAAGCTAGAAAAGAATAGAACTCACTTACCATTTGCAAGCACCTCGGAAGGCAAACAGCCATCCCCAAGTGCTGGTTCTATGTACATACACTATCTATTCCTATTCATAAATGCAATGAAATACATGTTACCCAAATTAAAAACAGAAAATGGCAATTTAAGTACAAGAAACCTTTCTTGTGTTTTTTTTTTCTAATTTTAAGAAAATTCAAGAAGAAACTTCTTAATAGATGTTGGACTGTTCTTTTGCTTCTCAAAGCAATTATTGCACTTGCCATTTAGTTTGGGTTATTTTTGAGTTATCACATATAAGAAGAGTTTTATATTGTTAGTTTTCCTGTTACAAAGATACTAAATGTATCTTGAGTGAAAAACAAAAAAATAAACCGAAACAAAAAAGAAAACAAACATATATACGTGTGTATACATATATATAAACTATAAATGTGTGTATATGTGTGTGTATATATATATGTATGCACAAACACACTATTATTACTCTGCAGAAGAGGAATTTTAGTCCATAATGAGCTGCTTTATAATTTTGATTATATCATTTACTCATAACCAATGGTGACTCTGATGTTTCCAATCTAGCAATTTCCCATAATCAGTAAAATAAACAAAATAGGCAAACTCATGGTGGAGCAGAAAGAACTATTATAGTCGATCCCTCCATACCTTCGTTTTGTAGGTTTGATGATCATGGTCACTTTTAGGTGACAAAAACAAAACAAAACTCTTAACAGTGAATATTATTAGGTACCAGAGGAGGATATGTTAGATGACGCAATTGAGTCTTCAATGAAGGATGTACAGATTGGATTGATGCTTTTTTAGATCTGCCCAAACCAGAGGGTGGCCATAATTAGTATTCGAATGCTGTATATTAAGTGGCTCCCTCCTGAGACAATAATGTCCCCAGATTTCCATGGTAACAGAGTCTCTCCAAAGGTCAGAGGGGTTTGCTATTTAACAATGCAGGCAGGACTCCTACAGAAGGGAGATGTTATTGATAGTAGGAAGCTTAAGCATTCCTAAAATAAACACATTGATTTTCCCAAAATATAGAAGACTCTAGGATGACTGAGGAGGTAAATCCAGGCAAATGAGGTTACCACAGCATACCTTTGGCATGCAATCTGCAACCAGATTTAAACCCCATCTCTGCCAGTTATAGTCATGAGATCCCGGGCAAGTCACATCTATTTGAGCCTCCATTTCCTTATTTGAAAAAGAGAGATTTCACCACCTTCCTCAACTACTTCATAGAGTTGTTGTAAAGATCAAGTTGAATGATATATGTAAAGGTATTTTGTAAAAACCTTATACATAGGGGCCGGCCGGGTGGCGCAAGCGGTTAAGTGCACGCGCTCCGCTGTGGCGGCCCGGGGTTTACCGGTTCGGATCCCGGG